GGGAGTGTGGGGGCCGGGGTGGGGCCAGCGCACCTTTCTTCCTGGCTGTGTCGTCCGGGTCCAGGTTGCGGGTGACCGTGACCACCTTGAGGACCAGGTGGTTCCCCCCCTGGCGGATCATATTCACCACCTGTCGGTGGCCCACCTTCACGACGTTCTCGCTGTTGACCTGCGGGAAGACGGGCAGCAGAGTCAGGTGGGCGCTCGAGCACAGGGAGGGGCCCGGCATGGCGGTGCAGGGCGAGGGCGCCCGAGGATGAGGGGACGTGAGACCCGTGTGTGTCTGGTGCCGTCCCGTCTGTCAGTGTGGCGGGCGGTGGGGCCTGTGTGCTGCAAAGGTACGGGAGCTATGCTGCCGGGGTCTGAGGCGCCAGCAGGGCCCCCCTTGTGGACGGGTTTCAGCACAGCTTCCAGACTGAGAGCAGGGAGAAAGGCCTGGCCACTCACTTTTGAAAGCCAGCCACTAAAAGCCCTGTTAGCAGAGCCGTCTGATGCGGTGGTAGGAGGTGAGCCCCCTTGGCTGGAAGGTCCTCAGACTACATGGTGGGTGCGACCGCGGCCTCGGACCACCACGGACCATGGACACGGCACAGAGCCGAGAGTCCGAGCTGGCTCGACGGCAGCTAACGAGCCCACCAGCTCGGAGCCTCTGGGGAAAGCGGCAAGGGCGCCAGCGTGCTGGTGTCGGGCCCTGACGCCGGGCTGGGGGGCTGGCAGAGCAGGTGGGGGGCTGGGCTTCCCGCGTGCTGGGTGGTGACCCGCACAAGCTCTGCAGGCGGTGTGCAAGCACGTGAACCCAGGAGCGCTCTTCACAGCCGAAGCCATGTGCAAAAAGCCTGACAGGAAGCCCCAGGTCCCGAGAGCAGCAGCTGTAGCTTTCTGTTCTCACAGCTATGAGGTGACGCCACTAATTGCTTCTCACATATTTGGGGACACCCTTTCTCACTGAGGCCTCAGGAGGCTAAAGCCTCAGTGGAGACAAAGTGCTAAGAGGGCAGATCCAATCCCTACACGCTGCCTCCCCTGGGACCACTGCCCGGGACTTCACGCAGCTCTGTGCCCCTTCGAGAGCCTGGACTTCTCTGCCTCACCTGTTCTCTCCGTGTCTGCCTACGTGTCCCACCGTGTCTGCCTCACGTGTCCCCACCATGTCTGCCTCACATGTCCCACCGTGTCTGCCTCGTCCGTCCCTACCGTGTCTACCTCACATGTCCCCACCGTGCCTGCCTCACGTGTCCTGTGTCTGCCCCACGTGTCCTACCGTGTCTGCCTCACGTGTCCTACCGTGTCTGCCTCACGTGTCCCCACCGTGTCTGCCTCACATGTCCCACCGTGTCTGCCTCACGTGTCCCCACCGTGCCTGCCTCACGTGTCCTACCGTGTCTGCCTCACGTGTCCCCACCGTGCCTGCCTCACGTGTCCTGTGTCTGCCTCACGTGTCCTGTGTCTGCCTCACGTGTCCTGTGTCTGCCTCACGTGTCCCCATGGTGCCATGCACCCGGCATGCATGCACACAAGGACTCAAGGTGACATGAAGGGTGGGGCCCTGGCCCCTTGGCTGAGCGATCTTCTCATCTCACAAACCATAGCCTTGGACCTGCTCAGCCGGTGCCCTACTGTCACCATGCAGGCTGGACTGAATGGTGTCCCCAGAGAGATGTCCAAGTCCTCACCACCCCCTCTTGTTTTAAGCCACTCACTTTGCAGCCCTTTGTCACAGTAACCCCAGGACCCTGGATACCAGGTTTGAACCAGGGTCCCTAGACTTGGGGCCCCATGTTCTTCTCATGACACTGGGCCTCCCACAGGGTCCTGGAGAGCCGGGGATGGCCCGGACGCCTTCCGCAGACCCTGTCGGCAGGGGCAGCCCTGGGCTCGTGCAGCGGGAACACAGTGCCCCCCACACGGCCGCTGAAGCTCACACCTCCTATGCTTCACTCGGGGACACACCTCGGGCCCACAGCCCCCGGCCGTCTAGGTGCCTTTAGTAAAGTGGGACTCCTCCCTTGCGACGTGCTCCCCTCCCCACAGAGTGCGGTAAGCAGGCTTGGCACGCGGGAACGTCCGAGGAAGCATCTTCCAGAATCAGCTGAGCCTGCGGCCAGAGGCTCCCTGTTCTCGGTGCACTGCCTTCTGCTGGAGGGAGCACAGCACCAAGGCCCCGGACGAGGTGAGGTGCAGGGAGGAGGCCGGGGACCAATACATCGTCCTCCTGCCGCCCCTGGTGGCCGAGGCCCTGCAGAGAGTCCCTGCTGTCCTAAGCCTCCTGTGAACCTGGCTCCATGCCTGGGACGCGGTGCGCTGGGGAGCCCCTCTCCTCTGAAGCAACAGGGAAGATGTGGTTGTGCTTGGGGTGGGGCTGGGCTTTGGGAAAGGGGCCCCCACAGGAATGACGCACATACTGCTCCAGGCTTGTGGGGGGGAGCAGGGAACGACCAGGAGGGACCAGGGTGATTCTGTCTCGATTCTCCGATTGCAGCTGAAGGCGCAGGCCCCAGGGCCTCAGCGCCCCCAGGCCTGGTGCCAGGCTGCCCGAGAGCCCGTGACGCTCTCCTGAAGACCCTGGGCCAGTCAGCAGGGGCCACTGGACGGGGTTGCAAGGGAGCAGGAGGGCCCTCGGAGTGCAGGGGTGCAGCCCGCTCAGTGAGGGCCCCACAGCCCTCGGATGCAGTTGTATAGGATGACCCCCATGCCCTGTCCCACAGAGGTCCTCTCAGAAAACTGCGCCTGTCAGGGCCTCATGGACACAGGAGTGTGGGCCCCTGAGCCCTGTGAGGGGAGGG